GCAGAAAACGAGATGAAGGCCCTGGTAGAGCGTAAAAGGGAAGGGAGGCGTGGGAGGGGACCTCGAAGGTATGGAAGAAGGTGGGAGAGAAGAGAGTAGAACGCGAGGGACGCTAGGCAGTAACTCACGCCCCCGAGAGGATTACCTACCTTGGCAAGGCTGGAGGAGGGTATATCCCACGTTGAGCTACGATCTTGCTGCGTAGCTACGCGTTCCTCATACCAAGTGTCCTCGGTACTCCCGTGCCGCGTGCAAACAGGGTTCTTTGAGAGCATGAGCGCGTTCCGGATAGCACCGGAAGACCGAAACCGGTGATACGTGAAAAGACTATTGCGTTTCAAATGAGACGGAATATTGTTACAAGATGTGCTCAAAAGGGGCATAGAACCCCTATTGCCACACGAAATAAAACTAAATAAGATATAATGATTTATAACATAAAAAGGCGCGTCAAAACACGCGTATTCGTACATACAATCATTTATTTCTTTAATTTTTATCGCTATGTTTGTGAAAAATTGGAAAATTATTAATTTAAAATATTTAATTTTAAAATTTAAAATTTGAAGTTATAAAAATAATGGAATTTGTATCAATCAGAATAATAGTATGTACACTTAATAGTACATATTTAATTTAGAAATATGATTATTTTATAAAATTATAAAGTTGAATTATCTCTTAAATGAATATTTGATAGATAATACTTTTTTGAACATTTACAAACAGTTAGTACACTTAAAAGTTCTTTTTAATTAAAAAAATTTTAATTTAAATTTTAAAAAATTACAATTGAAAATATATAAATGCAGAATAACATAGAAACGCGCAGTATCTATAATAGGATATAATTTTGCCATATAATACGATATATGATTCTATTCTTATTATCTTTCAAAAATACAATTCAATTTGGTTACATAAAACTTTATATGACTTATTGAAATATTAATTATTATTTAATTTAGAAGCGAGAAATACAAGGATTCCCTGATTGATGTATCATCAGTCTTATGTACAAAAACCGCCCAACGTTGCGGAAACTCGGAGGGATAAGCCTACAAGAGATATCTCAGGAGGAAGTCTGGGAAGTCCTTCATGAACCCAATTCACTTACTTTGATTTGATTGGTCCCATGTATGATTCGACTTCGTTTATATATATATATATGTGTGCGCGCGCGCGCGCGCGCGCGTGTGTGTGTGTGTGTGTGTGTGTGTGTGTGTGTACACATAATCAGGAGGAAAGCGGAAAAGGAGTAAGGGTTATTGAAGGCAAGCTTTGGTATCATGTTTTGCAAAGTTATACCGACAAATCCCCAGCAGCAATCAACGTATTGGCTGTTCTTGTTAGAGTTGGCAACCAGTTAAGTCGCTCCCTTTCTCAGTTTATGGTTGAATATGTCGAAACTCGGCAGATTTCTTTCAATCGCCATTTCCTTTCGCATTTGAAACTGTTTTCAACGAGCCGAAAAAAAATGTTTCATTATTTGGTGAAATTTTTGTAGTTTAATCGAGTTTCATATATTACTCATTTTTTTCAAGATATTTTATGAAATAATATGAGGATTAGTTCGAATGAATCAAATTAATAATTATGCATTGATAAATAGTTAAAAATTTCATAATAAAATACAACTTTGAGAGAATTGGTGGTAAAAGAAAAAAAAAGTTTATTTCTCTCATAATATTTTATGATATGACGACTTTAAACTTTTTTATTATAACTTAAACTTTTGGAAGAACAATTCGTCGGACGAAGGTTTCTGCGAGGTTGAAATTTTTTAGAATATACGGGCAAACATTTTTCAAGAAAGGCGTGAATAACGACCGAAATATTTTTCGCTCTTCTAAACGTGCTCTACGGTTTTCCCACTTTGCTGTTCAGCCAGCCAATCCCTCCCGGCATGCTTTGCCGATCTCCTTTTTCTTTGTTCCTCCAAATGAAAGCATTTTAAGGTCTCAGCATAAAATTTATCCATCCCTTCGGTTAAACAGCTATGCACATCTCTTTTTACTTCACAGGAGTGCGGTAATCTTGATATTTCATCCCCTAATTTCGTTTAGTGCGATATCTCATAGATGAGACGTCATGTAGAGTGAGATTCACAATTTGTAAATTCGAAACATGTAAATTCGAGAGTAAATAATTAAAAACGAAAGATAATCTCTACATCAGTATTATATATTTTTAAAATGTGTGTGTGTGTGTGTATATATATATATATA